AAGTCACCTCCTGCTGATTGCAGGTACCCTGTCTACATGCCAGGGCTGGCGGTGGGGGAGGGAGTCCTGGAACTTCCAGAACAGCCCTGATCTCCCCAAGGCCCGAAAGACACTGAACCTTCTAGGCCAAAGGCCTGGCCCAGCCACGAGGCCTTTGCTTAACGCCCATGGCCACATGCAGACACCACAGGCGTTATCACGATCTGAACAAGGCTCCCGCTGCTGCCCTCCGCAGAGTCCCCATGTGCCAGACACGTTATACACCTGACTTTGTAGAATCCTTACAGCTGAAATGTTAAGAAGCAGACACCATCAACCCATCAGACAGAGGAGGACACAAGATCTGAAAGGTCTAGTAACTTCTCTACAGTCACACAGCCTATTGGCGGAAGAGCTGGGACTCGCCCACACCCTGATGCATCAGACTCCAGCACCTGAGCTCCTAACCACTGAAGCACACTGTCTCCTGTTGAGAAGGTTCCTGCTGAGCACAGGTAAGTCTGTGCTCAGCTCCTCCCAGGCAGCATCCTGTACAGAGAGTCAGAGGCACAAGTGGCCTTAGAGAGCACTCAGATCAGGGCTGGCTCACGGTGTCAATACCCCTGTCATTCAGAATAATAGCCCGGTAATAGCTGCTTGGAACACTGTGTTAAGGAGGATTCTGAGGAGCGCTGGTTGATTAGTTCTGTCTGCCATGGGCTCAGGAAGGGGAGTCTGACAAGGAGGCAAATATTTGTCAGTCCTACCCCTGGTTCTGATGTCCTCATTCTACAGATCTGAAGATGGGGCCCAGAGAGGAGGTGTGACTTGCTCAAGGGCACAGAGAAAGTTCTAGGAGGGGACATGGGCTTCGGTCCCTGCTCAGGGCTATTTCCACCTCAAGGGACACAGCAGACAGTGTCACATGTGCCACCATCTCACTACCCTTGTCCCCTGACACATTCATTTTGGGAAGTTCCATGTAGACCACAGAAATACACTTGAAGAGCGCTATGCTAGTTCTGCCTCTTTAAGGAAATTAATGAGTAGCAACCTGGTGTTGCCACGAGGCAAACCCTTGTCCAGGGCCTTGGTGATGCAGGAAGAATGATCCAGCCTCCTTCAACATTTAAAAAACAGGGACAATAAGGGACGTCATGTACAACATGATAAATATAATTAACACTGCTGTATGCTATGCATGAAAAGTAAAGAGAGTAAATCCTAGGAGTTCTCATCATATGAAAAAAATTTCTATTTCTTTAATTTGCTAGCAATACAAGGTGATGGATGTTCATTAAACTTACTGTGATAATCCTTTCATGATGTATGTAAGTCATTATGCTGTGCACCTTAAACTTATGCAGTGCTGTATGTGCATTACGTCTCAGTAAAACTAGAAGAAAAAAACTGGGGACAACATTCTACCCCTTGCACAGAAATACCACATTGCTAGGTTTTGCCCCAAGAGAATACGTTTTTTTTTTTTTAAGGCTATCTACCGTGGGAAAAGTTCTTTTACAAAATTAAATTATAAACAACCAGATTAAAAAAATTGTCCAAGACCTTAACAGACACCTCACCAAAGAAGATATACGGACGGCAAATAAGCATACGAAAAGATGCTCCACATCATATGTCATCAGGGAAATGCAAGTGAAAACAACAGCGAAACACCGTCACACACCTACTGGAATTGCGAAGATCCGGAACACTGACAACACCCAGTGCTGGGGAGGATGTGGAGAAACAGGAAGTCTTCATTCGTTGCTGGTGGGAATGCAAGATGATACATCCATGTTGGAAGGTAGCCTGGTTTACTAAACTAAACCAACTCTTACCCTACCATCTAGCAAGCATACTTCTTGGTATTTACCAGAAGGAGCTGGAAACTTATGTCTACATGAAAAGCTACACGTGGAGTTCACAGTATCTTTATTCTTAACTGCCAAAACTTGGCAGCAACCAAGATGTCCTTCATGATGAATGAAGGTGAATGGATAAGTAAATGGTGGTACATCCAGACAATGGAATATTATTCAACAGTAAAAAGAAATGAACTATAAAGCCATGCAAGGACGTGAAGGAAGTTTAAATGCATATTCTTAAGTGAAAGAAGTCAGTCTCCAAAGGCTCCCTACTGTATGATTCTGGAAACTATGTGACATTCTGGAAGAGGCAAAACTATGCAGACAGTAAAAAGATAAGTGGTTGCCAGGAGCCGGGGCGGTGGGAAGGAATGAATAAGCGGAGCACAGAAGATTTTTAGGGCAATGAAACTAGTCTGCAAGATACTATAATGGTTGTCCAAACCCTATGGTTTTTGGGTGATAATGATGTGTCAGTATAGGTTCGAGGATTATAACAAACGTGCCACTTTGGTGAGGGATGATAATGGGGGGAGGTGAGGGCCGGGGTGGGGGATGTGGAAACTCTGTACTTCCCGCTCAATTTTGCTGTGAACCTTAAATTGCTCTTAAAAATAAAGTCTACTTAAAAGGGAAAAAAAGAAAATAAAAAATTAAAATATAGTCTGTGGTGTGCTGGTAAATGTTTAACAACTGGTTCTCCGGGAAAGGGGGCCCTTAATGTATAGTGTTTGCTAATTTCTGGGGTATAGATACTTCCCACAGCCAACTTCTAGGTACAGTGTGACATCAGTGAAGGCAAAATCGTGCAGAGGCACACCAGTACACAGTATTTCCACTGTCCAGATAGTACATAAAGAAATCATTCTAGGAACATAAATAATAGTAAAGTGTAAAATTACTAGCAAGAGGTGAGTTTTGAGTATATACTGCCTCTGTTTTAAATATAATTTGTGTAATTGTAAGTTTATATCATTTAACTTTTGACAGCATGTGTATTTGACAACCAACTTCCAAAATTCTGGAAATTTAACAATTGGTTCTCATGAGCCAGTATCAGCTGGTGTTAGAAAAACGATTTGTAGCTCATGTAAGAGAGGCAGTCTCAGTTTTGCCTATTTCCTCCCATCCTTATTCACGGGCAGGCATATTTTGTTGGAGCTGGCATCCTGGCGGACAACTCGTTTTGGATCTGGAAACCAGGTACTGTGATGGTGATGGTCGGGTCTGTCGCAGGATTAGCAGTTCACCCAGAACTGCTGCCCCTGGAGGCAAGTCCCCAGATCCTGCTAATCGTGTCATCAGGGTTCGGATCCTGCAACCTGATGCTATGCGTGATCTAACA